TGAAATCAAAACCGTGAATCGAATCGAATCGTGAGTTGAGTGAATCGTTACATCCCTAGTTGTGTTTGTGTGGGTGACAGTGAGCTCTGTCTTTATGTAATCATTGTCCACAGTTGCTGGAAAGGCCAATTATGATGATCTGTAAGTCATCGTATGGCTTTTCATTGTACTTTTGTTTTGTTATTATCAGATATATTTACTTAGATGTTATAAGAACATGTAATTACACACACACACACACACACATATATGCATTCATGTAATTAATGCTTATAACATCATATAAATAATTAAACTCTACTTAAATTATTAAATTATTAATTTAATGAATAGTGTAATATATGAATAATCTCAGTAACACTAAAGCAAAAACAACACAATTTCTAAACATGTGGTCCTGCATGTTATTTAACTAAAAACAGTTACTAAATGAAAGTCAAACATTTGCATACATTAGCACTTTATGCAAGTTCATGTCACCTATTTACTACAGATGTATACACACTTCTCTCCTTTTACCAAGGTTCCCCTCTTTGCACAGCATTCTTATGCACAAACCTGTTAACCTATGCAGTATCTATTCTGATTCACAGGTTTTAGGTGAATATGGCATGGCACATTTCAGCGACGGGGGCAACAGTAAAGGCAAAGATTACTGCATATTCTTCAACTCTCAGTGGGCTCGACTACCTCGGGACCTCAGTAAAGCAGTTAGTAGCGATTTACATTTTATACACACACACACACACACACACACACACAAATAGAAAACCCCAAATCTTTTACTGTTGGCTTTCAAATGAATTGCAGCCTTTCCAACAAAACCCCTGCTGTATCTGAAACTGCAGTTACAATTTGGATGCAATTTAGTATCACAGTGCTGCCACTCATTCACCCTTTATTGTTTTCCTCAGGCACGGCTGCAGACGTATGATCTCACCACCTCTGTGCTGTGCTCCCCCACTGATGTACCTGAGGGTGGCTTCCCAAACAGCATCCCAATGGTGATGAGAGGAAATTGCACTTTCTATGAGAAAGTCAGATTGGCCCAGATCAATGGTGCCAAGGGACTTCTGATTGTCAGCAAAGATAGACTGGTAACACATCGTAACACCATTAATGGCGCCATGAACATTCGTCGAACATTTTCACATGAGTCACACATAAATGAACTTGTTTGAAATGATTTACAGACTCCACCCTCAGGCAACAAGTCCCAGTATGAGGAGATAGGCATCCCAGTGGCCTTGCTAAGCTATAAAGACATGCTGGACATCAGTAAGGTAAGTTCAGAATCACTTAAACACA